ACTGTCACCAAAGTGCTTGCTCATAGGGGGTCACTTGATTGTTGGACTGCGACTGTTGTTGTGATTTGGCCCTTATAAATAAAATTGAATTGAACTGAATTAAAGAGAGAGAGAGTGTCAGAAGACATGAAGCAAAGGGCCTTAAACTGAAATGAAATCCAGGTTGCTGCATTCAGCCTTGCAGCACATGGGTATTTGCACACTGTGTAATTTTTTTTTTCAATTTTAAACATATTCCTTTTGAGGTTTTTAACACACAGGTCCCAGCCACAGATGGCTCCTGTAGTCGATTGTCTCTGAGATATTTCATTTGATTTTTCTCCAAATCCGAAGCTAACTTTACTTGCTGGTACGTTATTTATAAATATGTATTTTCCAAGGAGAAATACACACAGAGCTGTTGTTAAATAAGTGCCAGATTCTTTCTTATCAAAAAAGATCAGTTTACTACCTTGTTTTGGTTACAGAGCATCTATAGAGCATAATGCTGGAAATCATATTTATTTATATTCAAAATGTGCACATATCCCGTTGTTGTATTGAGAGCCACTATCTCAGGTGCCTAATCTGGGACCATCAGGAGTGTGTGGGAGGGTCATAAAAGGAGAAGGTCCAGATTTAATCTCTTAGGTTTTAGGGGACTCCCAAACTAAAACATTATAGTTAAACATGTGTCTGTTCTCTTTTGAAATATGAAGTTAGTTTTTTTTAGTGTGTGCTAAAATATGTTACTTTATGGAACAACTTGAATTTATCTTCTTTTCTAAAGTGCCAGATCCTCATTCATTTTGATGATAGAAATTCCCAGCTTTTATCTTTAATAGGTTTTTAGTTATCCGCTTAAAAACATTGCCTTAGAAAAAATGGCCTGAAAGTAGGTTGATGGGCCATTAAAAAGAAAAAAAAACTGAAATCAAGTCTTTTTCACAGATGGGTTCAAAGTGGAGGTAGTTCCTGTTTGTAGTGCAATAGACAGGCTGACAGATTCCTCCTATTAGTATATGTGAGACAAACATGTGTGTATGAATGAGAGAGAGCAGGGTGCAATGGTGAAGATGTAAGGAGCCCTTTATTTATTCCCTTTGTAAAGGGAAACACGGACAGAGCCGACGACTCCAGTAAACGACCATCTCTAAGATATTTCATTTGATCCATGTCCAAGTTAGTTCTCACTTAGCTGGATTTTTTTTTTTTCAAAGCTGGAAAGTTATTTGTAAATATGCATCTTCTAAGGAGAAACACAGACAGCTGCGGTCAAATAAGTGCCAGATTCTTCCTTATCACAAAAGAGCAGCACAAATGCCCATCTCTCCTTGTTGTGGTTACAGAGAAAATCAAGCATAATGTACAGGAAGTCTTTTTTTTTTTTTGTGAAATTGCGCTCATGTCCCTGCTGTTGCTTTGACAGCCACTATCTAAACTGTTTAATCTGGGACCATCAGAGGTGTGTGGGAGGCCCAGAAAAAGAGAAAGTCCAGATACAGTTCAGTAGCTATAAGTCAAGGTAACACATCTCTTTCTTTACCACAGCAGATCAATACACCAATCAGTTTGTCAGTCTCTGTGAAGTAGTCAGACTCGAACGTCAAGGAAGGTGGTAGGGAAGCAGACTATGCAGACATTTTAGGTTTCCAAGGTGAGCAATTTATTTACAGTGAACTTAATTTAATTTATAACTTAACAAAACTTCCCCCAAATCAATTCATTTAACAAAACTCACCATAACATGGCTCTGGTGACTCAGCTCACCTCTCCTCTCCTCTCCCCTGCAACTGGCTTTAAATAGGGCCATCAATTTCCCTCCAATTGCCCAGCCAGTACCACTCACTCAACTGAGGGATCTAAAACTCTACTCAGGTTATCTAAAAACACAAAACCTCTACACACTTCTAA